TCAACAATTACAGGAGTATCAACAATAATTTTTCTTCTATTTCCACATGTGTGAACAGCGGTGTAAAAGGTGGAAAGAAATCAAAAGAAACAATTAAAGAAAGAACCAGCACCTTCAGCGCCGGTGTACGCTAAGGGGAATATCACTTAGGATTTTTTTGAAATGTATGCAAGACTTGTTTTAAAATGGACAATCTCAAGTTATTTCATATCATCCCTACTGAATTTTTGTAGTTTATGAAAGACTTTTGTAAAATGGTCAGTCCCAAGCTATTTTATTTTATTATTCAGTCTCTTAAACATAACATTGAAAACTATAAATTTGATGTTGTAGTTTCGCCAGAACTGTCACACCCAACGGAAGGGGCTACGACAGTTCTGGCGAAACTACAACATCAAATTTATAGTTTTCATGTTATGTTTAAGAGACTGAATAATAAAATAAAATAGCTTGGGACTGACCATTTTACAAAAGTCTTTCATAAACTACAAAAATTCAGTAGGGATGATATGAAATAACTTGAGATTGTCCATTTTAAAACAAGTCTTGCATACATTTCAAAAAAATCCTAAGTGATATTCCCCTTAGCGTACACCGGCGCTGAAGGTGCTGGTTCTTTCTTTAATTGTTTCTTTTGATTTCTTTCCACCTTTTACACCGCTGTTCACACATGTGGAAATAGAAGAAAAATTATTGTTGATACTCCTGTAATTGTTGATGACTTCCTTTTTTGCATTTTCTTGGTATCCCAAATACTGGTGGAATGACAACCTGAGTTAAAGAGTCTCCGGAATCTTGAGAACAGCGAGAAATTTTTAAGGTTCAAGTTCCGGAGGGTGAGCAAAATAAGGTGAGATAGTGAATGTTTGACTTTGGCCATTATGAAAAGATACCGAAATAAATGTGTTCTACTTTTGTGGTGAATAACGCCGAACGAGCTAGTTGAATTTTAAGTAAGGCTGTAATAAATTTCGATACAATACGGCAAGGGATAACTTTTACAATTGGAATATATAATCAAAACAATAATTACTTTTAATCATAAAGTTGATTTGGCAAAATCGTTGCTATTATAACGTCATACTGTTACCAGGAAAAGTATTAGTTTGGTCATTGGTAGAAGCCGATTTTTTCGAAAATTTTCAAAGTTGCGAATATTTCTTAATATGTCTGGAGGAAAGTGCAGACTTATACGATATTTGTTTATAAGTTGGCAAATGTAGTATATATGTGTTCGCTGTATCAGTAGGGGGAGGGGCACCTTTGAACACTTTTTTCTTTCCAACCTCATAAAATTTTTTGTTTTATAATTTTTGGTTTCTTATAAGTTTTAACTAATAGGTACATGTGTAACCTTTAAAATGAATATACTTATGATATACTTTAAGCTTGATATACATATTTTATTACTTGGTATTTTTGAACAGCATGATTTTTTACAGTGTTTTTGTTCAAATATATATGTATTGTATTCATATATATCGGAAATGCATTTATTTATTAAGAAATATATACAAAAATATTCGAAAATTAAACAATTCTGATCAAAATTTATTAAAACATAAAATGACATAAAAACAAAAATTTATATGGTGAAAAAAACAGCTAATTTCCTAATCTTATTAGCCCATTTGAAATTTTTGAAAAATCGAAGCCAAAAGTTAAAAACTCCGTTTTTTAATGGAGTTTACTGTGTATGTTGCCCCACCAGTGGTATTTTACGGATATTTATTATTGTTTAACGAAAGAAAACTATCACTGAATTTTTCCTGAGCTCTTACAACCAAAAAATTAAAAGTATACAATTGCAGTGCGAAAACATAGTCACTCATGTAAATTTTGTCGACAACTGAAAAAGCTAGCCAAAATGGTTTACGCAGATAAAGAACAAGATTGGCATATACAAAATTTGGTTGAGGGTCGGAAAAATTCTAAACCGAGATTTTAAGAGCGCTGTCATTGAAAGCATTTTTACAGCAACAAACGCAGTAAATTGAGTTTCATAGTTTATATTGTATTATACATCAATTAACTCTGTTATCTAATTTTTTAACAGAACTTCCGGCAATGAAAACTGCAAAAAAAAAAAATATATATATATATATATATAGAATCTTTAGGCCGTGGGGAATGCCTTAACCGCTTGTTCGACCTAGGAATATATGTCAAGGAATTTTTAGAAATAGAAGGTATGGACGAATATTGGCATTTCTAGCAGACTTATCTGGTATTAAAAATGAATTCAATAAAGATATACAGGGAAAGAATAAGAAGATTGATAATGTGGACATGTCTCCAAGATTTCCGAGCGAATTTATTTCTAGAAGTTCTAGAAGTCTAACGCTGCGCTTAAAGTTGTGAAATCCAATCGATCTCAAATGTCAATTCCATAGCGCATACGTCGAAAATAACCCACTGGATTTGTGAACATGGTTAAGGTGACGTATATGCTAAGGAATTGACTTTTTAGATCGAAAGGATTTAGTAGTCCAAACGTGCTCTAAGAATTTATTAAGTTTTCAAAATGTCGCAAATATATGTGGAAGAAAATGAACTAAAATTATACGAGATCTTTTTACAGCATAAATCAAAGCTTTAAAGATTTTGAAGAAATGCAGCCTTTGCTGAACATTTTTGTTGATCCGTTTAAATGCGATGCAATGAAATGCGGTTTTGATATTCAATCGGAATTATTTATACTTCGAAGCGAACTTGAACCGTTTGAAATAATCGATCTGATTGAGTTTTGAAAAAAATATTAACAGATCTGAATGCATTTGTTGATATTTCATTGTGTATGTGTAACTTATTTTGCTTCGACATATTTATGTGAGCAGATATTTTCTGATGTGAAGCGGTAAGTCACAGTCAAATGTATTGACTTGGTTTTTTTATAATAGAAATGTCATAAGTGCATGTTAATCAATGAATTATTCTCTATTTATGTGAAGACCTTAACTTAAAATTAATGCAATAAAATAAACAATATTTATGTGAAAAAAAGCAATAGTAACCTCACAGTGAAAAGCATCAAATATAAAAGTTTTTTGCAAATGTTTTTTTGATGAATAATACTTAGTGTGATATCCCTTGTTATCTTTTACAGATTTCAACCTTGCCGGCATCGATTTTACCAAGTTTTCCGTGTAAGATGTAAAGCATTTTACAGAATTGGTATGCTTGAGATGTTATGGATTCTAATATTTTTCTCCAGAATACTCCATAAGATCCTTTTAGGACTCGAATCCGGAGACTGAGGAGGTGTTTGAATAACTTTGGGCAATTATAAAGCATCCGTTCTCGAATGATCTGGGAATTGTGTATGGGACCATTATATTGATAAAATTTGAATTATGTTCCTAATAGTACGTTTACATTTAACCGGATTTCGTTAACCCAGTGGGTTTCAATTGTCTATTCCTTCACATATATGTCAAATAAATCCTCATAAAGTAGCTTAACACGGTAAAAAGTTCTAACGTATATGCCGTTTAATACCAATTTTTTAGCATTACATTACAAATTATCTTTTAACAAATCTTCAATAAAAACTAGTTTTCCTACTCCGCCAGTGCAGGGACTATGTGCTTAGGGTCCACGACTTTATTCGGGCATACCTTCGTCCATCGGATCGAAACAAGTTATATTTACTTTCATCAGCAAAAATAATAGATTTCCAAAATGCAAAATCCTTTTTGTGTTCCTGAACTAACTCCAAATGGATTCTCGGTTTTTTGTGTGTTTATGAATGACTTTTTCAGTGCAACTCTACCATGTCTACGCAAAATTCCTCGAATTTTTTCTGGGTTACATTTCTTTTCCAGATGTTTGTCTGCGAATTCAGCAAGTTTTGGTTCACCTAGCTTTGGATTATCGGTCACTTGTCGGAGCAACCATTTTACGTCTCTTATATAGAATATTTTTTTTTGTTCTCGCTAGTTTTCGGCTTATTGCAAATTCGATTCTCAGTTTTGTGCCTTAATATAATTTTTTGGTCAGCAGGACGAGTAATATTGAGTATTCCCTATATGTTTCGTTGAGATTATTCTAGTTCAGCATGGTGAAGAACTAAATTCTCTCGGCAATCGTTGTGTGGCGTCCCTTGGTCTCAAATTCTCACAATAGCTATCCAAATAAGCAAACTAACGCGTGAAGTGTACAACAATTTCTTATGCAATATTTAACTTGATATTCCATGAGGTTGTTATTTAACCGTTATTAAGTTGTAAATGATATCGGTGGATACTTTTCACTGTGAGGTTGCAATTGATTTTTGGTCTGTTCCCGTACTGCAAGAATCTACTATTTTTTAATCCGATAACACTTTTTTCCTTTATGATATCGAAGAAAATAGTAAAATTGAGTAGATTCTTGCAGTACGGGAACAGGCCAATAGTGTCATATTACATTACAAACAAAAATTTTTTAACAAAATTTTCCTTTATGATATCGACAAAAATATTAGAAACTAGTAGATTCTTGCAGTAAGGGAACAGACCAATTGTTTATTTTATTGCATTAATTTTAAGTTAAAATGTTCATATTCCCATATAAAAAATAATATAATTTTTTTTAATGCTTATCACGCACTTATGCCATTTTTAAAAATGCTATTTTTGTAATGGAAATACCTAGTGGATACTTTTGGCTCACTGTACGTTACGTCAAAGCGCGCTGATGACTAACCAAGAGAGAATTTTTGTTTACATTGCTCTTTCACGTGTATTGCTGGTTTCGGCTCTCTGTTTATGATTGAGACAGATGTTTTCTGGCGTTATGCATTACACTCATTCGTAAACAATACGGAATTTTGCCTTTCTCCCTCAATTCGTTACATGTGGAACGCTTTTAAATTAGATAGGTTCATTGAGTAAATCCGCACCGGGAACATTGTTAAATAATGAATTAAAGTTAAAACAAAAACGTGCTACTATGTTTCCTAGACAATTATTTAGAAGTATTTTAACGAATAATTTACATTTTTATCAATGTTACCAAAGTACAACAACAAAACTATGGAAACCACTAACCACCACCAGGTGTTTACATTTGGTGCCTTCCAACTTTGCCAAAATTTATATGGACCGGGAGAATCTGCATGCCCATCAGGTGCTGGAGGAATCATTGAAACCATATCAAATATTTGCCACCGATGTGAGATTACATCCCGATGTCAGCTCCATTGAACTTCAAGAAATTGTAAAATGTTTGCCGGAAAATGCCAGTACCAGTGAAGTTTTCGCACAATTCCAAAGGGTATGTGAATACTGCCATAACACCAATAGCCTAATATCGAATAACGCATTTACGGCATTTGTCCAACAATTCTGTGATCGAATCCATTTGCTTAGCGATGAAGAGCTGAGAGGATCGCTAAAAGCATTAACCCTACTGCCACAAGAGGAAAATGTTCGAGTACAAAATTTTGTGGAGCTGTGGAATATTTTGGACATTGAATGTTGTCGTCGCATAGAAAAGTGGTCCACGGATGAGTTGTTGTTGGTCTGTGATGCATGGTATTCGTTGAATTTGGCACGGATATGTGAATATGTTTGGGAGGCATTGCGTAAACTTGGTCGCAAGGTTATAAAGATGCAACCCTCCCAATTGGTGCAGACAATGTTCTTCTGTAATATCATGCGTCGCACGGTGTTCGATATGTTTGATTTTGAAGTTAATTTGGCCAAGTGTGCCAAGGATATGACACTGGGAGAGTTGGGTGTTATGTCAATGGGGTTCTTTAAGACACAGACGCCCATACGGAATCCTGAGCTCATAAATTATATTTATGAAAGATTAATGCAGGAATTGGATACGGTGGATGAGATCACCTTTGTTGCAATTCTTAAGGTAAATAATGAACCCTCTAATTTTAAATAAGTTATTAACAACCATTTTTTTCTATCCTAGGTTCTGCGTTACAGTTCCAAACTGCCACAAGTTGACATAATGATGAAACTATTGGATAAAATCAGCGCCGAGAAATTTAATGACATGAATTTACTAACAAGTCTACATGTTGCCCTACTTGGCTGTGAACTGCAATGTTGCCACGAGGAAATTGTAGAGAAAATCCTCAATAAATTCCACAATGAAATGTCAAACACCCGCCTTAAGGACTTGGAACGTATATCCTTGGCTGTGGCTTTATTTAATATTAGAACACCCAAAAAAACCGAAGATTTGCTGTGCCAAAAAATTTTAGAATCCCTTAAGGGACGTATTGATGAAATAATGAAACATCCCAAATGTTTTACCAACTGTCTACATTATCTCACTCTAAGGGGTTTCTACGATAAAGAAATGTTATCGGTTGCCTTAGATCGAAGATTTTTAAAACATGCCGTTGGTTCCAGTTTAGCCATCAGTAGAGAAATTTTCAACTTGGATACATTTGTCAAGGTGAATTTGGCAAATGACAATTATGAGGGTAATCAATTGGCTGATAAATATCGCAAAACAATGGGTAAAATGTTGACGCATTATATACCCGATAATAATCCAAAATATAAATTGAATGCCACCGATCGAATATTACTGCAAATGAAAGAAATTACAGCTGGATTTCTACCCCATTGCCAGTTGAAACATATTTTACCAAATTATGAAAGAGCTGATGTTGTGATATGTTATGATCGTGTGAAGCGAAAATCGGTACCACTTTCTCCAGCATGTCCGGAAGATTATAATGGTAGGTCTAGAATTATGATTTGGTTTTTAAGAAATTTTTTAATCTTCTATATGAATTTTAGGTATTATATTGACCAGAGAACAGCTTTTAGGTGATAAGCTGCATGAGGATATTGAAACTGTTGCCTTCATTATTGCTGGCTGGAACAATGTGATACGAGGCAAGAACAGACATACCGGATTATTTGATATGAAATTAAAACAGTTGGAATTATTGGGTCATAAATCAGTTGTGGTGAGTATGAATATTAATAATCTAATTTAATCAATAAATAACCCATATCAACAAATCCTATATGTCCATTTTTAAAGATTATCATTGTATAGAACACTTTTAAAGATATTTCATTAATAGAATATTATACATACATTTACATCTGATAAATGACTTTTTAGATAAAAATACCTGATTGAGATAAAAATATCTTCTGCATATTAATTTTTTGGATTATTTGTCTCTGTATAACATTTTGAAATATCTACACAAAGAATAACTACTGAGGATCATCTAATAAACATGTATAGAAGAAAAGTTCTACTGCAGATATATAAACTTTTAATAATATAAAAGAGTCCTTCTGAATATCTTGCTTTGATATTAATTTTTTGCGTCTTCTTCTCTTCATCAAAATTCCTTGTAGTTTGTGTCTTATAATTTGTATTTGAATATGTATTCTTAATGTCATAATTTGTTTCTTTCTTTCAGATATATTGGCATGAATGGCGCGAGTTAGAAACCCGTCAGGATCGCATTAACTTTGTTAAACGTCGTTTATCTTCCGTTATTAACTTGTAATAAAAAATGTTTGCCAAAAAGTTTATATAACTAAATAAATGCATTGTTTTAAGTGCACAAATTTCCTAGCCATCGAGGTGTATTACATTGTGAACTAGTCGAAAGAAATTGGTTTCGAAGTACAATGAAATAAAAAGAAAAAATCGTGTATACTGGATAAACATACAGTAAGTTGTCTTCAATCAAAACTTAAATTGGAATGTTATTAACTTCAAATTTCCTATCCGACGAGGTCTATTACATTGTGAATTAGTCGAAAAAAATGGATTCAAAGTAAAATGAAATAAAAAGAAAAAATCGCCTATACTGAATAAACATTCAGTAAGTTGTCATCAAATAACACATAATTCAAACTGAGACAACTCCAGCATTATGTCCAAATTCGGATTAAAACTAAGCTTCATAGTATTGACAGATTATTGTCTTCAGTTCCAATTGAAGGGATGAGCCAATCGGCACTGCTTTGGTCAATTTTCTTAGCGACTGGATCGGCAATGTTCATGTAGATACTGTCTAGACTTTACAAATCCTTTCACACATTCAGGGCATTCACAAGGACGTAATTTAGAAATTCAGCCCTTAGGATTATGAGTTGCCGGCAAAAGCAACAACTACAACACATACGAAATATACGGACAACACCACAAGTATACGTTTTATACTCACGTGATGGTACGCACAAATAAATAAAAAAGGAGAAAACGGTTCACTGTTTTGATTATTGAAAATGCTGTCAGGCGACAGATTTATTGATTGGATTTGGGTAGTTGGGGGTTTTACAAAAATAAGGATCAGGACGATCTTTTTGTTGCACTACTTTTTCAAGAGTGATTAGTGATGGGCGGAAATCGATTATGTTCCCCTTTATGAGATGGGAGGACGCCGATGACTACAGGTCCAACTCGATGAGGTCGTCATCGGTGTCCATCGGTGTGGTACCCACGTACGGCTTGATGGCTGTGCGGCCATCAACATCCTCCGCCCCTTGCACTGGTGCAACCTTAACTGCCGCTGCCAGGACCTTCATTTGGTCCGCAATTTCCTTCAGCAACCTATTGGTCTCCCGTGACTCTATGCTTTCTGTAGGCTCCTGTTTTGGGATCTTTAGCCGATCCGCTACGGAAGATTTTTGTTGGGTTTCGGCCTTCTTGGGGGTTGCGTTTTTTGATCGTTGCGGGGGCTTGTTGTTGTTTGGCCTCTGAGGGGGGTTGTTGTTGTTGTTGGGCTTCTGAGGGGTGTTGTTGTTGGGCCTCTGAGTGGTGTTGTTGGGCCTCTGAGGGGCGTTGTTGTTGGGCCTCTGAGGGGGCTTGTTGTTGTTGGGCCTCTGAGGGGGCTTGTTGTTGTTGGGCCTCTGAGGGGTGTTGTTGTTGGGCCTCTGAGGGGTGTTGTTGTTGGGCCTTTGAGTGGGGTTGTTGTTGGGCCTTTGAGTGGGGTTGTTGTTGGGCCTCTGAGGGGGCTTGTTGTTGTTGGGCCTCTGAGGGGGGTTGCTGTTCCGATGAGTGAACCTGTTGTTGTTGTTGTTCCGCTGTGGGAGATTGCCTTTGGTCTGCTGCGGTTGATTATTGTCGAACTGCCGCTGGTTGTTGGGATGCAATAGCGTGTGGTGCCGTTCCCGACATATCCTGCAATTGCCTATTGCATTACAATTGCGTACCAGGTGCTCCCTCCCAAGGCAATTCAAGCAATATCTGTGCACCCGCACCGCATACTCCCTGTCCTTCTGCGCCATCCTACGAAACATTGGGCATGCTGTTAGGATATGGTGCCGGTAGCACACTAAGCACTGCTCACGACTTTTGTTCATGTTCTGGAAAGAAAGATGTAGAGCAAAAAAAAAAAAAAAAAAAAAAAAGAAAATTTTGACCATTCGACAAATGGTCCATTAATAACTGTTAATGTATCTTTCCATAAACATGTAAACGACACAGTTTCTTTACGAGTTCCTTTCTATAGGAAGTACGCATAGTTTTGTTATTGGCCTCGTTAATAGGCCATCGCATGTCTTTATGTCGGCTACCCTTACGTGCTCACCGTCGCCAATATATGTCACTACAACCCTTCCCATTTTCCATTCGTTAGGTGGCAAGTTGTCTTCCTTGACGAGTACAAGGTCGTTTTTTTCTATGTCTCGTTCCGGATACTGCCACTTGTACCGTTTGTGCAACTCTTGCAGATATTCGTTTTTCCAGCGTTTACTGAACTCGTGATGCAAGACTTTTAATTTCTCCCAGCGATTAATATCCGATATATTATCTAAGGGTAACTCAGGTGCGAATAAAAGTGAGCCACCTCTTAGAAAATGAGCTGGAGTCAAAGCTTCCAACTCGTCTGGGTCTTCAGATAGAGCGGAAAGAGGACGAGAGTTTAGAACACTTTCTATTCTTACAAGAATTGTCATGAACTCCTCGAAATTGTACTTTTGTTGTCCGACTACCTTTTTGAAGTGCGCTTTGAAGCTTTTTACGCCGGCCTCCCACAAACCACCCATGTGAGGCGAGCCGGGCGGAATGAATTTCCATTCAAAGCCTCTCAAAGCATACTTTTCTGAGACTGATTTGGATGAAATCTTGAGGAAGATGTCAAATTCCTTGACTAATTCATTGCTTGCTCCCACGAAATTGGTGCCGTTATCGGATGTAACACATTTTGGCAAACCCCTTCTTCCAATGAATCTAGCGAAAGCTGCTAAGAAGGCGTCGGACGTTAAGCTTGTACATGCTTCTAGATGTATGGCTTTAGTGGAAAAACAAATGAATATGCATGCATACGCCTTTTGATATGGCGAATTTTTGAGGTTTCCTGACTTTACCTGAAAAGGTCCTGCAAAGTCTACACCTGTGTGTGTAAATGGTAACGTTAGCATTGCACGTTCTAACGGTAATGCTGCCATAAGTTGCGACTTAATACGTTTTTTGTGCCGCACGCATATTATGCAATTGTTAATGCATTTCTTGACCACTCTTCTTAATCGAGGGACATAAAACTGACTTCGTATTGTTGTCATCATAAGTTTTATGTCCGCATGAATTAATATTATATGAACAAATTGTATGAAATTATGGCATAATTTTGATTCTGTCGGTAAGATAATAGGGAAGCGTTCGTCATATGGCAGATTCGTGTTTGCTAAACGTCCATTCACTCTCAATAAACCATCGCTATCTATAAAGGGGTTTAAAGTGCGTAAATTACTTTCGCGTGAGACGGATTTTTTACTCTCTATGTCCATACACTCTTCTTTGTAATGTAGCTTCTGCGTAAGCTTAATTAATATTTTTTTTGAAGATTCAATTTCTTTTTGCGTTAAATCGATAGATTCCTGTGGCTTTGATATATTTTTTGCTCTGTTAATGAATCTGTACATGTATGCAATAACGCGTATCGACTTTTCATATGAGGAGTATTTTTCGAAAAATTTTATGTCGTCTAAACCTCTTTTTTTGATGTCTGTGCAATGTGCTAGAGTCCTCTTTGCTTCCGGTGGATTTACCAATTCGAAATTCGATTCTGGCCAATTAGTCGCTGGGCTTAGAAGCCATTTTGGACCATTCCACCAAAGAGAACTTTGAGATAGATCGAGTGAACTACATCCCCTCGTACCTAAATCGGCGGGGTTACACTCTGATGTTACGTGTCTCCACTTCGCTGTCGGTACATTTTCTATTATATGTGTCGCACGATTTGCGACATACGTGTTCCAAGCAGAAGGGTGTTTTTTCAACCAAGCTAACACTATTGTCGAGTCGGTCCACAAATTTATCGAACTGAAATTAATTGGGTGGGTTTTTGTTATATGCTTTACTAAAAATGAAAGCAATTCCGCACCACATAATTCTAATCGTGGTAGACTAATTTTTTTTAATGGTGCTACTTTACTTTTGGCAACAAACAAGTGGACGGAAGTATTAGTCCTATTATCTGCCCTGATGTATACTGTTGCGCAATAAGCTTTTTCAGAGGCATCACAGAACCCATGCAACTGTATATTGCAGTCCGGATTGTATTGTACCCACCTTGGTATCTTTATGGATTCTATTCCCTTAAACTGTTCGACAAATGATTTCCATTTCGAATTAATGGATTCGGAGACTTTGCTGTCCCAGTCGACCCCATCCAGCCATAGATCCTGTAAAAGTATCTTCGCTTGTATAATTATCGGAGTTAACCAACCGGCGGGGTCAAATAATTTGGACACATTTGACAACATTTTTCGTTTTGTCACATTTTCAGCCACCGAGAGTGACTCCGTTTTATATGAAAATGTGTCAGATTTTGCATTCCATCGAATGCCCAGAGTTTTTATGGCGCTATTGTCTTCGATTTTTAGCAATTCCTCTTTTAATAAATCTTGAGGAGATATATACGCCAGAAGGTTTGGGTGATTTGCTGTCATTTTTTTTAATGGAAATCCGGCTGATTTCAACGTTTCTCTTATTTCGTGTTGTGCTTGTATTGCGGATTCGATTGTATGACCGCCTGCTAATATGTCGTCGACATATATTTCTCTTTTAAGTATATTTGCAGCTAGCGGCCGCTCAATTTGCCATTCTGTGGCCAGCTGCAATAACGTTCTTATTGCCAGGAATGGCGCACAGTTAATACCAAATGTTACGGTGTTTATTTCGTAATCTTCAATTTGTGCGGTTTCATTTCGTCTAAACAATATTCTCTGATACGGTATATCAGACTCGTGTACAAATATTTGACGGTACATCTTCTCAATGTCACCATTAAAAACATATTTATATAACCGCCAATTTAAAATTACAGACGTTAAATCGTTTTGTAACGTTGGGCCTGTATATAGAACGTCATTCAATGAAAATGAACTTTTTGTTTTGCATGACCCATTAAACACTACTCTAACCTTTGTGCTCATACTTTCAGGACGAAAAACTGCATGATGCGGCAAGTAGTACGAGCAGTACTTTTCACCATTCTTTATTTCTCTTGGCATACATCGTTTCATATGCCCAAGTGATATGTACTCGTTTAAAATG